TTTGAATCAAATTTAGTCAAAAGATGATCACAAATCAATTTCCAACCGAAAAGTTATGCTCCGATATTTTAGTCTCATATTGAGACCTATTTTTGGCATAGAAAGTGATCGAATTGGATAATGATGTCTGAATCAAAGTTGTAGCCAGATGGGTTAGCTTTCCAACACATTTTGAATCGCCTCAATCGAACATTGGAGTACAAAGTTATGATAAAAACACTGAATGAAGGTGCAGCTCTCTGTTTAAAATAAGAAATTCCGTTACATAATCCGGTAAAACAACAAATTTCGTTAGTCTTTCCGTTAAACCAACAAATTCCGTTAAATATGCACTTTTTATATATAGAAAGGTATTGGGTAGAGGTTGTTGTGGTGCTGGTGCACATTTCAAAGTTCCCTATTCAAAGTCTAACTAAAATCTAAATCTTGGATCCATTTTCTACCAAGTTCCACTTACAAAATTTGTCGGTTTGTTGTCCCTATTTAGCTATTCTTTTGACGATCAGTTTAAATAATAACACATAATCCAATTAAATGGATTTTATATATTCTTATATTTATTAGAACATATTATTCAATATCACATATGTTGCCATTTGAATGTGTTAATATCAGTGATTGTTAGATTACTGATTTTTTGACACATCCATACTTGTTGGGAAATGAAAAGACACCAAACACAATACACTATGTTGATGTTATATTTAAAAATATAATAATCGACTTACAAATAATTTTCAATATAGCAGTGAAGTCACTCACTGTCACATTTTCCAATAGATTAAAATGCATCATAACTTTGTTAGTGAAATTGACAGTAATCTTATGATCACATTAAACTCTTATTTATAATAATGCTTAAAAAAACAAAAAAGAACATTACTCTTGAAAATGACATTCTCATTTGCTAATAAAATTAGATGAATTAGATGGAGTTACCAGATTGAAATTACAACTACAACTGTACAAATGGAATGAATATATAGTTATAGAATTTACCCATGTAATATTAGATCTAATTTTTATAAAAGTTACTATCAAATTTATGCAACTATTCGATAATCATGATTTATTGAATTGGGTAGTCATTGATATAAATCAAGAAAACTGTCTATTAAATTTGGATTACACACAAGTTTCGGTTCAAATTTTCATCATAAGCAATTAACTTTTCTCAATAGCCTTAACAAATGTCCTTTTTTGAGGGAAATACTAAAGAAAAACGCAAAAAGGGAAAGCACAAAATAATGGGATTTTAACATAGGATTATGCTATTTATCAATAAAAGGACATCCAGAAAGTGTTCCAAAAAATAATGTATCGTGAAATAATTGGATGAAAAAGTTGATTGTGTTTTCCAATCATAGAGTACCATGTGGTATATGTAACCCATTATGTAAGATTTGATATACCTGTAGCAAGGGTCTTTAACATGTACAAACAAGTGAACATTACAAAGACATAAATTAAAAAGCAGCCAACAAATTTCCAGGGAAGGAAAAAAGATCCAAGTTAGAAGTGATGTTTCCAGCATTTTTGATATGCTGTTTTGAGAGCAAAAACAGGACAATAGCATGCAATGTAGGATATAAATATTATATTATTTTCATTGAGGCAAAATAAATGAACGTGGTTCCCGAGCCCGTACGAGATGTGAAACAAATTAGTATATTATAGGTTATCAATTCTCAACAAGTGCGCACTCACACACACTACTAATCCCTTCCAATTGGAAAGAAGCTACTCTTCGTCGTTAAGCAGTTCTTCCACAGTCTTTTCTTCCCTGAGAATGGGAAGCTGATGGAATATTGGAGACCGGGTAATTGCCTCTACGTCCTACAGCAAACACAATGAAACCCAAAGTGAAATCCAGCAGGAACAAAAGTGTATAGAGAGAAAGAGGGGGGGGGGGGGGGGGGGG